CCCCAAAACCCCAAAACCCCAAAACCCCAAAACCCCGAATCTACCTTAATGTGTAGAATGATGAGTTTATTGTATAAAAATATATTCTTTAACTGAAGAGATTAAAGTGCTTTCTAAGAAGACTAAGAGCCTATAAAAATGTAGCCTCATTTCCTCATCTCATCTTCTCTTACAACTCTTGTTGGTTGTGTAACTAACAGTGATGTAAAATGATATCATTGTAAAGATCTAACATCTACTCCTAATCTTTCTCTTAAAGTCAGGATTCGAAATTGTATCACTGGCTGCTATAAGTGGTGACATGCATCTACTGATCCTGGAATTTTCCCAATTCAAGTTTGTGTAGAGTTTGAATATTTTGAGGCGAGAATCTCCCTCCTTTATCTCACTATCAATCATTTTCACGCTCTTTATACTTTCTGGAGTAAGCGGGCTCCTCAATAGAGAAGGAGCTAGTCTTTTCTCAACTGGAGAATATACATTCCTCGAGGTATGGACATCTAAAGTTATTAGCTTTTGTCGAATAAGATTTTTCAAATTTAGGTGAAACCAAATTGAAATGTTCATATGTAACATCGTGAGATTGATGAAAGTATATATTTTTAGAATAATTGATCCCATAAACCTAAATAAATTATTTTTAGTAATGCCATGTGGTTTCATTAAAATAACATCATAACCCATCTTTAGAAGAAATATAAAGGTCCAAAATATATTCCTAAATGGTCAGCTTCTCCCGTATGACCTCGCTGCAGAAACACAGCAGGCTTATCAGCCATTTTTGAAGAAGTTTGGATTCGCGATATCCTTTCATAAAGGTAGATTATTAAGCTATTTTTTACTTAATCGTAGCTTCATTGTAGCTAAATGGTCAAAGTTCACAATACCAATTATTCTATGAGTATATCACCAGAATGTGAAAATTTAGGTACTTTTTTATAGCGAAGAACTACCTTAAAACTGGCATAAGTACTCTAAGAAGTGTAGTGATAACCTTTTAGAGCTTCCTAATATTTCTTAGTTTATTCATGCATTTACTTATAAGGTTTGAATATTTATAATACGAACTTTATCATAAAATAAGCACAAATTGTTACCTTGAGTGACTTTGAACCTAGCTGGCCGGACTCTTCTCCTGATACCAGAACATTTAGCTTGTTTGTAGGCTTTCACAACTTTTTTCTGTCACTTCTCAGTATAGTAATCAAGTATTCTGGATGCTTCCATAATACCTAAATTATAAACATAAACCATAATATACAAATTAAAGAGAAAATCTTTTGTTTCCCAAATATTCCCATTTGATAACAGAACGGAAGGGGGCTGGATCTCTGGCTCTAGTAACAGTCCATGACGGATAATAAAGAGATTTAGCCATTTTTCCAGACTTTATTACTAAGTTAAATAACTATGATATTATTATTCAAACTTTGAATATTTCGTTAAGAATCCCAGAACAATATTTTCAAATGAATAAATTCGAAACCATACTAATCTTGGCTTGCTGGTCATCTTGGGTGCATTATAGTTGTTCAAAAGCATAAAAGTCACCAAGAAATGCCGTTATTTTTATTTGACAAAACTGGTTTTCATGCAAGACCACTACTTTATGACACAAGGAGGTGCAGGAAAATGCTTAGGAACCTTCTTAAGGCTCCGAAAATTGATGCTAAGGAGTGAGCATAGTATTTGGGACTTCAGTGATGCTCCATTATGAGAGATAGCAACATTTTGATAATAGAAGGAAGTTTAAATTTAAGAGTAATATAGTAGATTGGGTTTAGGCTTACTCGATCTATTCCTCTCATGAGCATACTTCATCTTCACCTTGAACCTCAATTTTTTTCTTGGACTACACAGGGTTAGGTGATGTCGAAGAAAGCAATAAAGTTGCAAAACTTACTTTCTAGTTTTGTGTTGTTGTGAACATTTTTGGAGCATACTACTTTCAAGAACAGGAAACAAAGCCTCTCCTGGCATAGGCTCCTTGATCATTTTTCTTAAATTCTTCTGGTAGTCAGGAAGATTTTTTCTACCTTTCGTATTATTACCTTTAGAAGAGATTAGTTGATTATAATTGCTCAAAATTTGCGCTAAATATGTTTAAAATTTGGTAAAAAAGTCAAAAAATTATCAAAATTGATTCCAAGATATTTCAAAGGCATTTAGCTCTCTATTAACTAGCTTACCTTTAAACAAAGTCTGAAACTTTGCAATATTAACTTTCTCCATATTATTACTACTTTATTTTCAGTATTATTCCTATATAGGGGTTTTGGGGTTTTGGGGTTTTGGGGTTTTGGGG